AGATGGTTTTAGCAGCTCTCGTGTCACGGCAGTGCCGGGCCCCAAGCAGAGCGTCCGCTGGCTGCTTTAGCCAGGGCCCAGCCCACACTGTCACCATCCTTCGGCCTCAGAAGCTGCAGGGAAACCCTGCCCCAACCCCTGCCTGCTCCGGGGAAGCAAATCTCTCCAAACCAGCTGGCCTGGGAGATACAGTAGGGACTCTGCCCAGGCCTCCCATGCGCCTCCTGCTCCAGCCAAAGCTCCGGCTCCTTGAGGGTGGAACGGGTTGTCCCACCCCGGGGCCGTGCAGTGGAGAGGGTTCCGGTCCTGCCAGCGAGAGCTGGAGAGAGGCCAGAACCAGAGGTGCCAGGGGACCCTTCGTCCTCATCCCTGCAGCTGCAGCGCTCTGGGGCCAGAGTTCTTCCAGCTGCAGCCCGAGCAGATGGGGGCTGCAGGCGACGGGGAGGGGGCAGAAATTCCAGGCACCTCCCCAAGTCTGCGGAGAGCAGTGACAGCACAGGGGGAAACCCCGGGACATCACTCGGCAAAGACATCCCCTTCCCCTGCTCTTTCTTTTAAGGGAAGGGGGAAAGGGTGAAAAAGGGAGGAACTTAAGTCAGCCCAAAGGCCCCAAGAAAGCAGGCAGGAAGTCATGGTCTTAACCAACCTTCTTATTTCTTTATTTGAAAGGCACAGCTTGTACGTCCTCGATACAGCATTTTCAGTTCCTCTTATTATAGGTCAAGTGATTAAACACAAAAGCAAAACAAGATCTCTCTAAAGGACTATATACAAACACCAGATTATTATTTAATTTTATTCTTTTTTACTCCATTTTTGTTTTTTTAGAAGACACGCTAGCGCACGGAAATAAGAACAGAGAAAGCTGCTGTATCCTCTATACGGAGGGAGGGGAGCAAGGAAGGCTCTCGTGCTTGGCCTGCCCCTTGGCCCTGCGCTCGCTCCGCGCCGCCCGGGCAGGCGGGTGCTGTGCCGCGGGGCAGCGGGTGGCAGGGACCCCTCCAGCTCGAGAAGCAACGCGAGAAGGAAACCTGGCGGCCAGAGAGCAGGGTACTATTCCAGAGCTGCAGGACTGGTTAAAAACAGAGATACATGCAGAACAGCAAGGTGCCGGCCTGGTATTAGTGCAGGGGGAAGTGGGGAGACAGGACCAGAACCACGGAGATGAAAAGAGATCAAGAGCTTCGGACAGGGTGGTGGCAGCTTTGGGCAGGGATCCCAGCAGGGAATTGTGCACAAACTGTTAGGATTGAGGGTCATCTTTAAATACTGACTGGAAGAAGGCAGGTGGAAGGGAACTGGCAGCGCCCAAGGAGCCAGGGCCACCGGGCAGCCCCAGGGCGGTGCGAGCTGGGCCGGGCTCGGCCCACGGCGCGGCAGGGGCAGGGAGGCCAGGCCGGGTGCGGGGGGAGCGGGATCGGCCACGCGGGTACTGCTACGGCGCCGGTATTGCTGCCAAGGGCCTA